CGCATAGGTATCAAAAAGCAATAGCAATAAAACGTAAATTCAACATCATTTGATTAGTCCAACACCAAAGTCTTTGTTCTAAACAAGGCCTTAAACACATCGGAGAAAGAGATTGCCTCAGGCAAAGCATTAAAGTGTCTGAACGATTGAAAGTAGAGGGCGCAGTTGCGAGAAGTGTTACATGACCTGGAGCATTGTTAGCAAGAAGAGTTGCTCGGAGAGCAAGTTGAAGACATACCTCAGCAATTGACTGCCGCTCAATAATTGATTTCTGTCTCTCGTTGCGCGAAACACGGTAGTAGTAGTCACTGAAATCACCACATTTCATGTGGCGCAGAAATTCTTCATCGTGCGTGATGACAATCAACTGGAAGTTGGCCTGCTGCTGACGAGTGCGGATAATGTCATGCAGCGACTCCGCCAGAGAGCGAATGTTATCTCGGTCCAGGTTCGTGGTGGGCTCATCAAGTGCAATGAGACCGCAGTTGACACCGAAACACTCCGCAAGGGCAAGACGAATGATGATACTAGCCAGAACCTTTTGGCCTGCACTGCATCGGCCTCGCATATCCATCTCGGCGCCTGACTTGACCATGCAGACACGGTAATTGTACGATCGATTGCCCTTGGCATTCTCGTTGTCGGACCGTATGAGAATTGTGTCGACGTCGGTTCCACGATAGGTCTTCTGCCAAAGTTCGCCAGCGATGGCGTTAATTTCTGCCATCTTTAGGCCGTGATATTGCATGATTGCCTTGTCAAGAGCGCCACCGTATCGAGCCAAGTCTTCGACGGCGGCTTTAGTGGTCTCGACCTTGATATGGCATTCCTTGTATTTCGAAGATGCATCCTTATAATCTGTGTTCCAGTCTGCCAGCAGCTGCATCAACTGGTCGTCCTTGGACTTCATTTCGCCCATCTTGCTCGCCTGTTTAGCAGCAAGGGAATTATGTTCACGAGTCCAGCGTTCTGACTCTTGCTTAAAGCGACCTCGGTCCACTTCGGCATTCTGGGCTTCTAATTGCTCAACTTCTTCAACAACTGTGTTGAGAGATCGAGTGGCTTGGCGATATGTCAAGTTGTCGGAATACTGCCGCTTTGTGTTTTCACTGTCCTTGAGTTGGGTCGAGATTTTGTTGATCTCCCTTGTGATCTCGCTTTGATCGGCTTCGAGTTTGCTAATTTCAGCTTCAATTTCTTGAAGCTCTTTCTTGCTTCGTTCAAGCTGGCCCGGGCCTCCCCGTTGATTGTATGAGTTTATGTCATCGTTGGCAAGGTCAAGTTGATGGATGTTATCAGATAACCGACCAATCTCGTGCTGCAGATCTCGCTCACGCTTGTCGGCTCGCTGGCTGATATCATCATAACGGGCTTGGGCTTGAAGCAATTCTGGCGTGAGACCTTCGATATCTCGATCTGCCTTCTCAATTGCGTCCCGCTGTTGAGTATTGAGCTTCTTGAATTCTTCCATTCGGACAGTCAGGTCCGCTTTCTTTTCCAGCTGGAATTTGACATTGTCTAGGTTACTCTTCATATCTCTGAACTCAAGCTCGAGCTTGTTGATCTCTGACCGCGTCATTTCTTTCTCATTTGTCACTTTCGCTAAAGTCTTTTTCAACTCCCGTGACTTTTCATTGTTGGAGGCGATTTCCTCTTGGATATCTTCCAGGGTACGAGCAGTTGAAGAGTCTTGCTGCTTTGTAGAAAGCTCTTGGATTTGCGATCTGATCGTCTTAATCTCGACATCGTAACGCGCAATAGTGCTCACTGTCTTAGCAAGACCTTCGACATCACGTTTGCTTTCTGTCATCTCGCTGACCTTTCCATCCTGGGTTTCTAACTTCTCCAGAAGCTGGTCACGCTGAGATTCACATTCTTGCTCTTCTTGTTCCAGCTCTGGAATGACAGTCTCCGACAAACGGACCCAAGTATCGTAGGATGCACTAGCGGCGCGAGCGGTTTCGAGATCTTCTTCGAGGCTCTTCAGGGTCTCGTCTTCGGCATCAAGGCCAGCCTTCTTGACTAGGGCATCCAGCTTCTTTGTGAAGGTCTGAAGTTCCGCCTCATTCTTGAACGATCTTTGACATGTTCGGCACAACTTTGTGCGCTTAGCAGCATCAAGACATTTGGTAAGATACTCTCCCATTCCGGCATATTGATCAGCGTCTTTGCGAGCGAGATCATATTGTGCCTGGCGTTCCTTCACAATTTCGGGGTACTCGGAAGGCTCTGCATCGACTGCGTTGTGGATTTCCTTCACGCATTCATCAAGTTCCTTTTGCTGTTGCTTGAGGTTCTTCTTGGCTGTCTTAAGCTTGAATTCTACGTGCTCCAACTCTCGACTCACGCCGTCGCGCTCTCGCTCTACATCGGCCACTTGCTTTGATTCAATATCGAGAGCTTGCTGGAAGCCTCGCTCCAGTGTTTCAGGCTTCCAGTCTGAGCCAATGGCCTTCTCAAGGCGATCGCTATAAGCTCCTTTCATCGTTTGTAGACTGCGTTCACGGTCCTTCGATTCTTTCTTGAGGTGATCTAAGCGAGCCAATTCTCCAGCTTTCTTGGTTGAATCAATGAGCTCGGAGTTCAATCGTGAGTTTTCATCCTCCAGGCGACGGATTTCCGCATTAGCATCCTGAATATCTTGATCCCAGGACGCAGTTTTGGCTCGATCTTTCGCGTGCTCAAGGTTTGACGTAATATCCTCAACCTTTGACTCAAGCGCAGCTTGGAAGCCTTCATCAACTTCGATTTCATTGAGCTTTTTTTGATAGGTTGTTGCCTCGTTTTCATTCGCGGCAATCTGTCGCTTCGCCGCGTTCTTGGTCTCTTGAAGTGCGGACTTCCTTTGCCCAATCTCATTAAGCGTTTCCTGGACCTCACGGAGCTCTCTCTGGGCTTCACGCTTCACGCGATCCAAGGACTGGTTCTGTTCTCTTAAAAGGCGTTTGATCTTTTGCATGAAGGTGTCAATTTCAGATTGATCTATCTTCTCGCCGAGGCCACGAATGTTGTTGGCGCGAGCAATCTCGTTGATCATGTTTTGGCGCCTTTGGGACTGGCGCTCGAAATTGGCCTTATCGTTCTCAAACTTTCCATTCTCGGCTTGTTTTAGGCCAAGGCGGTGCCTAGTCTGCTCGATCTGGTCCTTGATCTCCATATAGCTTTCCTTTTGTGACTCTTCTTGTTGCTGATATTGGACCTGCTTCGTTTCGAATTGCTCCAGGGTGGATTCAAGCCATTCGTCGGAGTCATCAAGCTCAATCAAATGTCTTTTAAGGTTGTCAATGGTAGTTTGGATGCTTTTGGCTTCGATGCGCTTGCCCTCGAGAGCCCCGAGGACCTGGGCGAAACTTTCTGATTGCGTCCAAGCCTTATCAGCAAGCTCCGCGACGCGTCGCATCTCTTGCGACATCCGCTGGGTCTCTTCGCGCAAGGCCTCGATTTCATCTTGAAGCTTGACAGATCGTTTTTCAGCACGGTCGGCTTTGTCTTTGTCTTCTTTCGCGTGTTGCTCCATGATCTTGTATTTGCCAAGCTCCTCATTCTGCTTCTTTCGCAGCGCTTTGATATTATCAATGGCTTTGGTGTACTTCAAAGCCTCAAAAATTTCGTCAAATCTCTTTTTCAGTACAGACGGTTCACTCATTGGCCACAGACTTTCGTCCTGGTGGCAGAAAATGACCGAATCCAGCACGGCCTTTGACACACCCAAATACTGCGGCATGATTTGGTCCAGCTCAGCCACTCGCGATGAAATAGCCGTGCGCTCGCCGTTCTTGACCATAAGCAGCTGGCCTTCTAGGGTCTTCTGCTGTCGAGTGGTTTTTTTGACCGTAAGTTGTAGGCTGCGCGTGGCAACCATTTTCGCTCCGGAAGTGGCCTTGAATGACAGCTTTACCTGAGCCAGTACCTCTTTCTCACCACATAGTTTCGGGTCATGAATAAAAGCACCACCTTTGCTATTCGGAGGGAGATCGCCTGTTGTGGCATATTTGAGACACTCAATGATGGTCTAGGCCTGCGTCAGTTCTCTGCCGTTCGCAAATCCTAGTCGCCCATTTCGCCATTTCCTACCGTCTTTCCCGAGCCATTATATCCGACAATCAACGTGAGGGGTGTGTGGAACTGGATGGTTTCGCTGCGAGTATTATCGAAGGAGCGGACTCTAGAACAAGCGCAATTTGATGAGCACAAGTTCAAGTACTCTCCGCAGTGGTTGCACGCGGATTAAAAGTTGGGAGAGACGTACCCCAGGATAGAGAGTTTATCAATTTTTGCTATATTATGTTAGATGCCCGTTGAAGCCGTTTTAATTTTTCTTGCCGAGGTATAGAACTGTTGCACTTACACCTAAAACCCAGTTAGCATCGTGACGCGAGACGGGGAATGATCATCACGTACATTTTGACCAACAGCTCTGGAGGGACGTTTGAGCCCGTTGTCCGTTATCCTTATCAAAATACAATCGAACACTGGCTGAACAGAGCAAGAGCTGAGAAATAAAAGTGCTCGGATCGCCGTTGAATGTGATCGATCACATAGTTCCGCGTCAAGGTGACACGAAATCACGTGAATTGCGCCAAAGTGCTAAGGCCCACAAGGATCGGCGGTGTTTCGTCAAGCAGCAATGGCCGGCTCTTATTTCCTCGGTTCTCTCTTTTCAAGATCCAGGCCCTCAGTAAGACGATGTATATATTCTGAGAGGCAAACTCTTCAACCCCTTCTTGACCGAATGTACCGAATGTACTGAATGTGCCGCCTCGACTTTGAAGAATGAGATCATCTATCCTCAACGCCCTACTATATCCGCTTTCTCGTGCCGCCATCATTTTCTTTTAGGAAAATCTCCTGGCTTTGTATAAGAGGCGTCAGATTCAGAAGCGCTTAAACACATAACTAGTGCCGTTACATATCCCTCGAGTTTTTTTCTCTGTACTGCACTCGATATGGCCCTGAGTCGTCCACAACTCTATGAGGGTATGTCTCCATCCACCTCCCAGATGCGATCGGGCCCCAATGAGGGGCGTTCAGTTTACGCAGTGGAGCAGCAGCAAGTTCATGGGTCCTACGGCGGGCACTACGGTGTGCAAGGTGGTCAACACGGGGGATACCAGGGCGTACAACACGATGCGGGCTGGACAGAGCGAGTTCTCGATGAAATGAAGGATATGCTACTTCTCCTAACCCCGGAGGGCCAAATCGCCTATGCCTCACCATCGTGCAAGTATATCACCGGCTGTGTTGCAAAGCAACTCGAGGGAAGTCTTCTGTCACAGTACATTCATGAGGACGACCAGCCAATATTCCAGAGAGACTTGGATGACTCGGTCGCCGCGAACCGGTCGTTCCGTACCTACTTGCGATTCCAAAAGACCAACAACACATATTCTCTCCTGGAGGCTTATGGCCACCCACATCTTGCAAATCAAGATGAGCGTCCGACAGGGAGAACTACACCCGCCAGTCGCTGCACCGGCTTTTTCCTCGTGTGCCGACCAGGTCCCAACAAGGTCTCGCAGCTTCTTGACTCCTTTTTGGAACACAAGATTGAGAATGCACGTCTGATCCAACAGATTGCCAAACTGAAGCAAGAAGAAGATGAAGAGGCGACCGCGACTCGGGTGGTCTATTCTAGGAGCGAGCAGGATATTCGCGCTCCCGTGACCGAGAACCAGGGCCAACAATCCTCTCGTTCAGGGGAAATATCTAGTGATCCTGACACTACGGACACCGTGGGGCCGAACTCGGATGAATCCGACACAGGGCAATCGACGGGATATTACCCAGAGCGGAATGTCGGCGAGGCTTACTCACACATCGATGGCATCGAAGTCATGACCGGTCTTAACTATGCAGAGGGCGAGAGATCGCAAGGCCTCAGTACAGGTGTCAGCCGTGGCCGTCTTATACATTGCGATATCGACATCACCACGGCTGCTGACCAAGAGCGCAATGCTCAGGAAGGTGATCGCCGTAAAAGGCTCAAGGCACAACATGTCTGTAGCGACTGCGGAACGGCAGACTCCCCGGAATGGAGAAAGGGGCCTAATGGGCCTAAGACCTTGTGCAATGCTTGTGGCTGTAAGTTATATCCTCCGCCTCTTGTAACCCCCGTAACCCCCGCTCAGCATGCTTGTGACTTATTACTCTCGGCACGGAACGAGCTAACCCAATTGCCTCTTTTTTAGTGCGCTGGTCTAAAAAGGAGAAGAAGCGCCAGGAATCGGCGTAATTTTTCAGTTCTCGGTTTATTTGCTTCTCTCTGACTGGTGACCTCCCAAGGTCTTCTCTCCATTGTCTTGCATGTTCACGTCAAGATACCCCTCAGTTGTTCGGGCGCTTTGCTAGTCAAACATGCGATCCATTTTGCTGGATTTTTTAACAAGTTTCAGACGACCCCCATGCTCGATATCGCATGGGTGATGATGTTATGTCCCGTGAAATCGATCTCTTTGGTTCAATACGTGTAGCTGGTCGTGTTCTAATTTAAAAACATTGTGTACCCAGCATTATGGTGAAAAAAAATTTCCCTTAGTGACTCAACTCGATTATGAGGAAATAGATGTTTTTCGACAGAGTCTGAACGAATCAAATGTCCAACTCTCAAGATGATGACGGTGTACACTAACGAATTGTGGACGTTCGGCCAATGAAAGGCAAGTCCACCGAGGAAGGTCAGAGGAATGGTACTAACCCATCTGTACGCCATCCATATCCTGGCAAATAGTGAAGGTGATGTGTGGGCAACAACAAGTGGTATCACAAAAGCAATTTCTCACGAACAACAATTCAACCCCGAGCCCATTCAGGCATCAGCAGTCTTCTTTGGTGGCGGCGGCGGGAAGTGCACCGGCGACCCCGTCGAACTCTCTGGGCTGACTTCATTCGATTGCGGCGGCGGGGATTGAGCCTGCACGCGAGATTTGTCCCGCAGTGGGAGATCCGAGGCTGTGCTGCTATTGCCAAGTCGGTTGAAGGCCAGCGTACGGGGTGCGAAGGGTGAGATATTTCCCCCAAACGCCATGGGTGGAACCCCGGGGATGCGGGGAACCATGCCTGGTCCTCGAGGCATTGAGCCAGGAGGCATGGGAATCATACTGGGAGACTTGATGATCTCTTCTTCGAATTCCTTCTCGATGCGACGCTCTTCTCTCTGCTCCAGTATCGCTTCTCGTTCTTCGGGGGTGATGAAGCAGGAGTGGATGTTGAGGCCAAGGTGAACTACATAGTAGATGCTGAGGATACTGTTAGCGAACTTCTTCCTCGCAGAATGAGGGCAAGTAAAGGAATGATAGAAGGGGATGGTCAAACTAACATCATGATGATGGTCACAGCAAACAGCGCTTTGGCTTGCATGCAGTATCTAACATTGGACTTTTTCGCGGCAACATTGCAACTCTTCGCAATGTACCACGGGGCTCCTGGCTGGGGATGTTTAGGGTCTGACATGTCAGACCCAGCCTGGTACACCGCTGCCACGATATAGAGAATGATCAAGGACCCGTGGATGACGACCGCAATAGGAGGATAAAATAGGCACATCCAGTGGATAGGCATTTTTGTGATGAGGAAGAAAGTGCTCAATACACCAAGAACAAGGTTGTAGTTAGTGATACTATTCTCGGGGTCAGCGGTCAGCTCTTGAATTTTGAGGATGGCGAGGAACATACAAGGCAGACCAAACCATGGGGGCCTTGAATGGTCTATAGTTCGATGCTGCATACAGTACCTCGTTTGGAGCACTGTTAAATCCATTGTCGGCCCCATCTTGCCATAACAATGTCCGATATAGGTTGTGAGAAGCGATACCCGTCAATGTCAGCATTACAATGGTGATCGGAAATTCCCCGGCCATCAACCAAAGGACGAGCTTGTGGTGTCTGTGCTTCCTTGGAAACATGAACTGCATTTTGGCCGTGATTTTGGAAGACTCAAAACAAAAATCGACTCTGATATTTTCCAAGCTGTCCGTTCAGCGGAAGCGCTATGGAGGAGTTTAAGCTTCGTACAATGTGGCTTAACCAGACCGGCTGGCTAAGACAGAGAGTCTGTCGCACGTAAAGGGCCAAACGTTTCAGCGTGGTAGAGAAGGTCAAAAAAAATAGAACAACACATGGCTGGGCGACCGAAGCGTTAGATATGAGCTCGAGACCAACGAGCGGCCGAAGGCACAAACAATCGCATGCAGGAGGGGGCACGAATCAGCATGGGAAGACCGGGCGGAGGGATTGACGTGTGTTTGGGAGGTGCATCTGGCCAATGCTTGATGATGGCCAAGCGCCAGCGCAAGTAGCAACCCGAGGTCATCACACCAATGAGATGACGGGGATCGAGGGAAGACCGCCGGTCGTCACACGCTAGACGGTGTGACAGGATGACTGATCTGCATGGAGCCCTCGTCACATTATTCCCCTCAACAGGATCAGCAAAATCTTAGCATTCCGAGGGAGCTTGCAGCTTTTAGTGCGAAGCGCCTGGCGTAACGCTGAAGTGGGGGGTGATGTGAGTCGCATCTGTGACTCTGCAGTGGACTGTACATATATACCCATGTCAGTCCCGTAGTCAGGAACATGAGAACAAAGAGGAGAGTCTCTCATTCGTGACAGCCATAGCTATAGCCATTATTCAATCCAAGGTCATCGAGCTCGACTCCGTAAGTTGTCGAGCGATGGCTTGATGAAATGTTGTTGAGAGGAAGTCATGTGGTCGGCAGGGAATCCCAAACCACAACTGACCAAATCTCATTATCAAAGGCTCAGTCCATCTTCTACATTGGGAATCCATCTACTAAATCCTTCTAATCACATGCCAGTAGTGTGATAAGTATCTTGATATATGTCTTGATGAGGTCGTTCCAGTTGCGTCCGCTTGCTCTTCGCTCAACCATTCCACTCCGCGTCAGCCGGCCTAGTCAACTTGGATTTCGCTCAATTTCAAGAAATACAGGCCAAATGACTTCCCAGAGAGATAGCCCAATACCCCATGAGCTGCGCACAGCTGCAGAGCCCCGGCAAAATAGACTACATCCAGTGCGACTATCGCACATTGAGCAGGTCAACCACTCTGTTCGGCTACTACAATTCGCTCTGCCCCAAGAGAATTATGTATGAAAACTTATCCTTCCTTTTTGAATCTGCTGTCTCTTTGTGTTTGTCTCTATCTCCCATATATTCGACTCATATAAAGCAAGCTGCCACACCTGGGGGCTGGTTGTCCTTTGTTGTACCCGCGCCATTGGATATACATGCCCCGCACGGCCAATGGTTGTAATCACAGCTGGGCATCTTCTCCCACACGTCTTTTCAATACAGATATGACTGACGCCATTTCCAGGATAACAATCAACAGTCATTCAGCTTCCTCCCTGGCCAATGGCTTGATGTTCATATCCCCTCCATCTCCCAAGCGGGGGGCTTCACTATTACCTCCACCCCGGCAGATGCGAAAGTGTTGCCCCCACCTGAGGCTTCTATTGATTCATTAGCTGGCGAGGCATTAGAGCCCTCTTCAGAATCTCAAGGACGCCCACCATATGTGGAACTAGCTGTACAAGAATCTCCAAGCAACCCCTCCGCGGCATGGCTATGGAGACCAAAAGACGAGATACTAGGGAAGGAGGTTAGCATCCGAGTTGGTGGAAGCTTCATCTGGCCACCTACTGGAGTCAGTATCAACGATGTTAAGAATGTGGTCTTCGTTGCGGGTGGTGTTGGCGTTAAGTAAGTGATGCTCCTCAAATATCGTGTCCGTTATCTCCGGGGTCTACAAACGTACTTTAAAACGCCAAGATCTCACTTGTTTCAATCCACCACGATGGAATCCTAACATAGTCCTAGTCCTCTGATATCCATACTATCCCACCTAAACAACAACGAACCTCACACCCCCAACCCAACAACCATCCGCATCTTGTACTCCAGCCGCCTACCGCAAGACCGGGAAACAGCCTCAGCAAACACAACATTAGACCAGATTCTGTTTCTCCCGCGTCTGCGCCAGATATTCAGGTCTCAAGAGAGTTCGCATCGGCTCCGGATCTCGCTGGACCTTTTCCTCACGGACTTGGCCTCATCGCCTGATCTGCTCTCATCTGGGTCTCCTTCGGATATTAAAATTCATGCAAGGAGGATAAACGATCGTGATTTGCGATCTGCGGCTGTGGGTATAGATGGTGGGTTGGATTCTCAGGGCACAGTATGCTATGTATGTGGGCCGCCTGGTATGACCGATTTCATTGTGAAGAAGTTGGTTTTGATCCTAGGTAATGGCGGGGAGCAGCGAGTTTTCTTTGAGAAATGGTGGTAAGGATGGGGTCAGATGGGTAACGGTGTAAGATCTTCACAGGGGATTAAATGTAGTGTTTGCTTGTCGATAAATGAATTGTCAACATTACTGGCCAGGTCTACAAGAATTGGAGTAGAATAAGACTGGGAGAAATGGCTTGAATATTTCAGAAAAAGATAAGACTCCCCCGCAGACGCCGACCTAATGCAGGCAAGGGGCAGAACGATATTTGTACAGGAATATAAGGGAAAGGCCTCTGGCAAGAACGGAAACGACAGTATGTGAGAGCAGGGGCAGTACGAACACGCTGACATCTCCATACATGATATGGAAGAGGAAGAGGAAGGAAAAGGGGAAAAGAGAGAGAGAAGCCAGAGTTCGTTAGAACGCTTCGTCTGGGCCGTTGACGGCACCGCCATCCACGATCAACATTTCGTCGACTTTGGATTCAGTTTGACCCCATTCTAGACGCTTGTATGTAGTTACACGGCCGGGGCCTCTATCAAAGTCGAAGAAACGCACTCGTCGGACAAAGTCATCGTAGCCACCGTAACCGCCCAGTCCGACACCACCGCCATAGCACATCCACAGAGAGGGTTTCAAATTTTCGCCTTGATCGAGCATGCAATAGTCATTGACATGATCACTAGAGAACTGTTAGTCTTCAGACACAAAGAGACCTTTGAAAGCATGTGACTTACTGCCCACAACTAACAAACAAGACGCCCTCTTCTTCAAGGGCATTTTTGAAGCCAGAGTTGAACCCTGGTGCAGTGGGAGGTTCCATCCATGCCCCCTTAAAGTACTTTCCTGACGTGCGATATTCTGGGAGCGGGATATGAATGAATGCTACGTTCATGTGGATATGGTTATATTCCTGGTGTTTCCTTCTCAGGCTTTGGGCGGTATTCTTGAACCACCGAGTTTGGCTCGGCTTGATCCAATCGTAGCCGCGGAATTGACGCTCATCAGGGGAGTAGGAATGTGTGTCAAGGAAATAGAGGGTGAGGGCAGAGTGTGTGCTTTTGCCCCAATCGAGGACTTCGACCACGTAGTTTCCGACCCCGTCAATGTCTTCGGGGCCGGCGGCGGAAAGAGAGTAAGGGAGGTCTTCATATAACGACATAAGTTGTTCCCGGTTGAGGTCACCCTCGTCGTCGTGGTTTCCAAAGATAGCTGCGTAAGGAATCTTGCGATCGACCAAAAGCTTTACAGACTTGTAGAGAGCACTTTGTGCATCGGGAGCGGTCTCTCCGTTGATCTGGTCACCAGAGAAGACCACCATGTCCGGCTTCTCTTCGTCAAGAAGTCGTTCAACGAACTCCAAAGTCCGAGGATCGGCTTCACACTTCTGGCCAGCCACCGTTTCCACAGGAACAGGGTCACGACAGTGGCCAAGACCAGTGCTCATGTGAAGATCCGCCAACTGCATTACCTTAAATTTCCCATTCTCGTTGATTCTGGGAACGGGTTTCTTTGGTTTGGCCTGCGGATGCCCTCTTCGAATACTAAGGCGAGTCTCCAACTGTTCCGTCCAACTATCCAAAAGAATTGGGGTATCTTTAACTTCCCAATTGGGACGAGGATCGACAGCATCCGCTCCATAAAGGACATCGAGGTAGGTCACAGCGTTTTCGGAGTCGCTGGCATGACGGGAGGACGAGCGCTTGAGCCAGATGCCTCCCGGTCGGGGCTCCCACGCTTCGAGTTCTGTCTTTCCAACAAGTTCCGAAGGGGGAGTGATGCGACTGATTTTCAAGTCGATGACCACCTTATCATCAGGACCCAATTCCTCCTCCTTTTTCCGCCTGAATTGGACGTAGGCACTCGAGGTCCAGCTCGAGCGCAGGTAGAGGTCCTTGTCGACGCGGTACCAGGTTTCTGGGTCTAGCTTACAGCTCGAGAATGGATTAATGGAAGAACATGTTGTGACGGTCACGTCTGTGATCACGTAGCCGGAATAATGCGACGGAAGGTGGCCATGAATTGAAGAGGGAAGGACACTGAATCGATTATCAAGAATGACGACGAGGAGGAGAATGAAAGTAGTGAATAAACCGAGCTGTACACTCGCTCGGACCTACACAAATTTGGTGTTAGCAAAGAGCTTCACAGGGGGTAGAACAAGGTCATACTAGCCGGCGAGCCATGATGAGATAGATATCACCCTGGCAAGGACTTGAAGAAAAGCGAGACGCCCTGTCGCATGATGCCCGCGAATTGCAAGTGTATAGCACAAAGGAGAGGACCAGGTTCGGTCAACTCTAAGATATAATGAACAAGTATAATCTGGAGGGTTGAAGTTCCCAGTTCACCCCCAACGCTTGGACCCTGAAGGCGGTGACTCCTGAAGGGATGCTTGGTGCTTGTATGTTGATGATTCATCGACTTAGCTACTCTTTACCATTTTTGCGGATGTTCAGATTTTTTTGGTTCAGGTTTATGTGAAATTGAGGTCCATCGTCAACATTCATGCCCGTCTAAATGCAAGTCTATACAGATCTACCTCCGTTCTACTGGCCGAGCGAAGCCTTGGCAGCCACCTCACTCGCTGACACCTTGCCACTCAACATGTCTTTGGAAGTCGAGAGGATTGTGGACCAATTCTCGAAAGTCGTGTAGGGCATTCCCCTACGCTGGCAGTAGGTCACCAGATCTGCAACAACATTAGTTCGTTGTTTCGGAATGTGGGTTCAAGTTGGGTTGGACAGATGATTACCTTTGCCTCTCTTGGCGAAGAGAAGATCAGTTTCCGCGGCTGCAGACAAATCTGAAACACCGTCTCCAGCATACAGAAGAATCGGGCGCTCTCCGTCAGGCAATGCCGCATAAGGCTTGATTTCCAGGGACTTGTCATGCCCGAAGTGGCTGGTGAACGATTGTCAGTAAGGTTGGGGGAATACTAATTGGATTGACAGTCGTTCACCTGTCATCGTGGTACTCAATCTGCCAACCACCCTCACTGTTGATATCCTTGCCACCTCGGCTCACAGGCTCGTTGGAAATGATGGTGAGGTGACTGGCTGGCTTGTGACCGAGGAACTTCTCCAACAAGGCGCTGATAATGGGTCGCATACCAGATGACAGGATGACAATGGGAACATTGTTATCCTTGGCCCAGTAGTAGAATTCCTCAAAGTACGGGTCCAGCTTCATGTTCTTTAACAGGATCTCGATACACTCGTCGTAAGGGGTCTTAATGCTTTCAAGCATCTCGCGGAAGGCATCTCTATAAGGAAGAACGACTCGTTACGGCTTGCTTGTGAAATAGACAATACCTCTTAACACTCACCGAAAGCTCATAGTCTCATTTAGGACCTGGTTGCCCAACACCAGACGCTTTTCCCGGCCGAAACCAAGGGTGTCGATCTGAGTGGCATTAGTGAAGATCTAGAGAAAAGGAGCGATCCAACATACCATGAAGTCATTGCCTGCGATTTTGATTAGTATTCAGGTACCGGCACTTGGTGGGGAAGCACCTACTGTCGTCGACTGTAATTGTCCCATCAAAGTCGGTGAAGAAGATGAGCTTAGGCTTAGTCGCCAAGTATGGGAGAGTGTTGGAGCCCATGATTCTCTGTGTATTTATAGCAATAGAAACGAATCAAAAATATGTACAATCCAGGGAGTGAAGAAAAGCAAGTGCCGAGATTAAAGATATGTTCCTCGATACGGTGACTGGGGGTGGGTCGGAACGGCACCGCGGGCTAGTCGATCAGCCAGATTTTCCTTGTCTGTTTATTTCAGGTCGAATTAATCTTGATCTATATCATGTCTCGTCTGCGCCAGGCCCTACAGCGCGTCTTCGGTGCGACCCCAACACCAAGCGCCTTGCGCCCTCGAACCATTGACACGAATTTCTCCATTATAAGAGGTACTTGTGTTGCACCGCCTCTTCCCAACATCGGGGCTAACGAAATGCGTAGAGGGAGACCGAGTTATTTTGCACGGCAAACAACCATCATTGTCAAAGGCCTTGAAGCGAGGTGAAAAACTCCAGACTCCTCGTGGGGCAGTGGAACATGATAGTATCATTGGGAAACGGGTCTGGGACACGGTACAGTCTCGCAAAGGTCAATAGCACCCACCTTTCGGTATTCCCTGGGCATCTCACTAAAGCTTCCATTGCATCCAGGCCTGAATCTCCGAGTCAGCCTTCCAACGTTAGAAGAATACGTCGCCCTGACCCCTCGCTTGGTCACGCCGGTATGCGCATCAGTCCTACGGATCAGACACAGATACATTGGACTCACGCTATCCCAGTAGATCTATCCACAGGATGCGAATTTGATTGCTTCCCTTCTCGACATTCATGTCAACACTCCTGCCGCTGGCGAAATACAACCTACCATGGAAATCCTCGAATCCGGAACAGGCCATGGATCTTTGACACTGCACCTGGCGCGTGCCATTCACGCTGCCAATACCACTCCTCCGCCTCTTCCATCGCGATCTCAGATCAACTACCTAGAGGGCCGTATCACCAGACCGAGTGAAAAGGACACGGAACCAACAGGAGAAACCCCTGCCGAGCAAACTGCGGATCCAGTACAGGAGGAATGGGATGCATGGCGAGCGCAGCGCAACGCCGTCATTCACACAGTCGACGTATCGTCAAAGTTCTCTGCGCTGGCCGAGAAAAACATCCGGGGATTCCGCCGTGGAATCTACACAGGTAACACCGATTTCTATGTGGGCCCCGTCGAAAACTGGATCGCCCAGCAGAAGCAGCTGCGAAAAAAGACTGGCCTGGCTTCACTGACTGGAGGAAACCCTGTCGACCCGTTTCTTTCGCACATTATTCTAGACATGCCTTCCTCAAACTTGCGGATTCCGCATGTTACCCCGATGTTGAAGCGTGATGGCCTCCTGGTAGTGTTCGTGCCTAGCATCACCCAGATTGGTGAGTGTCTGCAACTCATCCGGGACCAGCGATTGCCTCTCATTCAGGAAAAGGTGATCGAGCTTGGCTCTGGAATCAGCGGCGGCCGCACATGGGATGTGCGTTTCGCGACCAAAAAGTCCGGCGCCGACCCAGCAAGCTGGGCTACCCCTTCAGATGCTGATGTTGCCGCCCCTGTCGAGACTGACGAACAGTCCACCGCCTCTGATACTGCCTCTGAGATGTCCACAGAGGAGCCTTCCAAGGAAGGAGGGTCTGTCTTGGTCTGCCGGCCCAAGGTCGGACTGCGCATCCAGGGCGGCGGCTTTGTGGCAGTCTGGCGGCGGATCGAAGACCGTTAAGTTCTCGATCCGACTGTCCCAAGCATTAAAACCTTGTACTATATACCTTGTATTCTATTACATGTCCCATATAGACTGCGCCCAATTGTACCATTTAGAGAATTGTGGGAATATAATCCAAGCTATGCTTGAGAACATGTCATAGCAAGAAACAACTACTTCACAGCTTCGCTTTACTCTCGGTCTCATCTTCATGAACAGCGGTGTCTACGACACCTTCACCCTCAACGCGCTCTACCTCCTCCTGAGCAACCACCGCCTTCGTCTCGGGCACCTTGCTGAAAATCCATGCCTTCACATCGGTAAAGAACCTCTCCGTCGTCTCCGGCAACTCACCATGCAACTTATGATAAGCGCCTTCATAAGAACAAAACTTCACATCACCACCCTTCTCGGTCAAAACCTTGGCAAAGTCCTTGGTCGCAGGATAACTAGTAATGAGATCCCCATCACCATGCCCAAACCAAAACGGCACCTCACTCATCACCCAAGCTCCAGACCCAGCCGCAAACATCCCCTCTAACCAAATACCTCGATCCAACATGCCGGCCAGCCCCTCAAAGGTACCGGTATCATGGCACAGCGTGTCAGCCACGAACTCCTTGACCACTTCCTTGTTTCGAGATAACAGATGCGCATCAAGCGGGGAATACCGCTGCTTGTGGGGGATCAACTTTGCGACAACTCGCCCCGCTGAGACCACCAGCTTTGAGGGGCGGGAGGATGGATCGATGGCGATTAGAGGGGAGTACAGAAGCACGCCGGCGAACTTGGGCCGGCTGGATTTGTCTTTGTTGTAGGGTGACTCTGGGTGGAACATGTAGTTGAGGACTTGGCCGCCACCCATGCTGTGACCCATCAGGAACAGAGGCACGTCAGGGCGGGACGGTAGGCTTTGCAAGAAAGAGTGGATGTCTAAGAGGACTTGGGAGGTTGGCCCTGTTTTACCGCGGTCACGGGGTTTTTTCACGCTGCGGCCCCAGCCTCTGGGTTGTGATTGTTAGAGGGTTAATAGTGAAACAGACCGGCTTCTTTGGTGGTTTTTTTTTATGTTGAAATACCAAGAAAGGGTTTGACCTTGCTGGTTAAGCACTTACCGCTGATCAAACGACCTGACCTCGATACCTGCGGATACCAGTGTTGGAAAAAAACCATGGTAAGCATTGCCTGGGATGGGTTTGTGTCAATTCTCCGTCTTACGGACGATGGGCTATCTTGGCTTGTTGCCCATAATAGACATGATCGACTCACAGTGGTCACTAAAGCCATGGATAAAAGCCAAAACAGCAAGTGGAGAGTCACTGGTCTATCGAGTAGGTCGCATTGTTAGCTTCGGAGATCCATCTCCTGATCTTGAACTTGGAGTCTATCTCGGCTTGTTCAGAGACTCAAGCGTTGCAAATTCAGACATACCTTCCATGTCTTAGCATACAGTTCCAGGCCGTCCGGGGGAGTATGCACGCTTTCTTCTGTGCTCATTTCAGCCGATGGAGCTAGTACAAGAGCTTGAGAGGTGGTTAGAGAAGAGGGTGTCCTTTTTTTACATGGATGTAACGGGGGGCCACACTAAATGCGTCTCAGATCCACAAGTCCCAAGATTTATCATCAAACCCTAATTATACCAAGTTATGTCTTGACACAACTGATATACAGAAACAAGATCAACAGCAAGACTTCAATCCAAACATCACGGATTTTCCATTGTCTGGATAGTCTGGATAGATTATGTGCCTCTTTGCTCTGGCGAAATTTGCCGGCAACCTTGATCGACGGTCAATTTCCCTTAAATTTTTTTTCTCTTCTTCTGCTGTTCTTTGATTTCTATCTGTATCAAGTCATTCCTACCCATCCCAGGAGACACGACATAGCACCTTTAACTCTCGGGGAGCATCCGAGGTTCGCCTTTTGGCAAGAGCCTCTAGGAATCCGCGGGTCTTCGGACCCTGCTTGGATTTGATTGGCTCCTGGCCAACCTTGCAGTGACCAATCATCTTTCGCCAGTGACATACTTCTCAAGGGCTACTATATCATGTCTGAACCCGCTTGGTTTTCGTTCCCTTTGAACCGTAGGATCTATGCTATTTTATCTTATCAAAAGGGGGGCCATCGAAATTTAAGCCCGCAATCTCACAATCTCTGCTGCACCCCAAGTATTCAAGGATGTTCTCCGCCGTTTCTCAGGTGGTTGCAAACACTCACCAACCCGATGTTTCATATCGATCCCTGGCATTGCCGGCGAGTGAAGATAGCCCAGATATCCGCCAGACATATCGACCATTCAACCTCGACGACAACGCATCCGAGGACTGGGTGAATAGTTTGGACTTAGCCACCGCGACGGACATGGCAGAACATAACCTGCGGGTTACAAACGAGAGGCTGAAAGTCCCAGTACTCTATGGCAGTCTTCGCAAAAGATCATATTCGCGACTAGTGGCATTGGAAGCTTCCCGGATTCTGTTCCGGCTCGGCTGTGACGTACGCGTCTTTGACCCCGAAGATCTTCCCGTGAAGAACGAGAGTGATACCGCCCATCCCAAAGTACAGGAGCTCAGAGAACTCAGTCTATGGAGTAATGGACAGGTCTGGGTTTCACCTGAGCAACACGGCAATCTAGTGAGTGGGATCTCACGATAGTCACAATATTGAATGTATCAAATACTTATCTGCGTTTCTGCAACGCTAGACCGCTGTGTTCAAGAATCAGATCGATTGGATTCCGTTGACTACCGGAAGTGTTCGTCCCACCCAAGGCCGAACGCTGGCCATTGCCCAGGTGTGTGGGGGATCCCAATCATTCAATGCGGTCAACTCTTTGCGTATCCTGGGTCGGTGGATGCGCATGTTTGTGATCCCGAATCAGTCTTCGATCCCCAAGGCATACACACAATTCCCGGAGGAAGGTCAGCCAGGAGATCAACGACTCATGCCTAGTGGCAACCGAGATCGTCGAGTGGATTGCATGGAGGAGTTTGTCAAATATACGATCCTGATGCGGCCTCACATCAGTCTTTTTAGTGACCGTTTTAGTGAGCGAGAGGAGAAGAAGATGAAAGAGGCGAAGCTGAATGCCTCTTTAGCCAGTTTAAAAACATCGAAGTAGCTAGAGTGTATCCAAGAGACAGTACATTATGGTATAAATACTCGACATAGTTTGTTACGTCGACTAACAACTAGACGGCTACTGTACGGAAAAAATTGTTGGATATGGAAGTTGTCTAAATCTGTTAGCGCATTTCGGTCATCTAGTCAGGCAGTGACCAATCACAAAAAGCGAGTGACATGCTAGCCATGCTCTTGGTTGCTATGTAAATTGGCCCAAGGGCTCTGAACGAGTTCTCTCACAAGGGAGAGTCGCTAATGTGGTGTGGTATTGTGGCCAGCATGATTTGATTTTCTCGTCAAAAGTATTCCCAGCTAACAAGTTTACCCACGGCCAGTTAGTGCTAAACGGGGTCCGTCTCCGACGATGGAGATGATGCGTCAGTTTCGGAAATATCCTTCTGGATTGTGGGCTGGGCATAGTGCTCTAGTGATAATTCAATTACCGAGCATGTGTCGTACGTTTTGTCTGTATGAGTTGTTCAAGGAGAAGTTGCTTGAGCGGTGGAAGACAGGGAAAGATGATTTAAGGCAGCAGCTTGAAGCGACTATTTTAGGTGCTGGTGATGGGGGGGTGCTTCTTGCTTCTTGGTTCCTATTCATGTGGCCAAGACAAGAATGAGGCTTGCAGTTGGTGAACAGATAGGTAATATCCAGTTGGGTCTGAAGGGAAATCTTGTTTTACCATCCCGTGTCGGGGCATTGGATGTTGCTCGAGACGCCCTCTGGAAGGAAGGGATAGCTGGGATGTTCAGGGGGATCTGCTATTACTTGCGTGGCAGCGGTTGTTGAAGGTGGACTCTCTATTGGGTGTGATGAGGGGGCTAAGATGTACTTGTGCCATCACAACGCTTTATAGTTGGCAGGGCTGGGGATCATTCCATGCTAAGTGTTCTACAAGATTTCTCTAAGGGAAGAGATTTACTCTTCTCCTTATGTTGTCTTAGTGCAGACCCCAAAAAGAAACATTGGATGTGTCTACTAGAGGCGTATTTTGCAAAGGTGCTGCAAAGTACTCTTCATCTTCCACCGTGACATTAGAAGGTGCGTATACTGCAGGCAGAGCAGGTTCCTGGAGACTAAGAGCTAACGTCAGACTCAATAGCTCTTCAAAAGGGCGACACCAAAGAAGATTTGCCGTATGTTGTGCTTATCAGGCTCTCCGACTCCCGGGCCTGTTCTAGGTGCTACTCCCGTACATGTACATACCCAATGTACGCAGATAGTAACTAGTCCGGGGAATCGTGCATGTCTCACAGAGTCACGATGCACATGCATATGGCCAAGATTCCATGACAAGGGCATCGTGGTCCACATTTATCAGCAGCTCTACTGACCGGTCTACAAAAGGGACATAGAAGACTGAAAACGAACAAAGCCACGCTCTATTCTGGATTGGACCTTGCAGAGGAAGAATGGCGCAACAGACACGTGCATGGAACAGACAGAACTCCCTACGCCTGAAAAAAAAAAAAACGAAAACGAAGAATAGCAACCTCGTCACGGGCAAAACGCAGATACCCTTCACCACCTGTTCCGCCCGAACACCAATCCCCGATCCTAAGCGTCGTGAAGCCATCTCAGATGAGGTCAGAGATTAGGTGAAATGAAACCGAGATAAATCAGGAAACTTAAACGGAAGAAGACACAAAAGATGTAGAGGGCGAGGTTGAGGACAAAGAGGAGGGGTTGGATGGAAGAGAGCACGGAAGGGAGTAAATGGAGACTGCCACGCCGTTTCACTACATCCAACGGACACGAGGCAAGATCATCGACCGGTCGAGAAACAGATACCCCGCTAGCAACTCAAGAGGATACAGAGGATGATAAACCAGAGGAAGTGGAACAAGGACGTTCATAAGCAGAAGAGAAAACACAAAAAGAAAAAGGAGGACGTGAAGAAACACCATAAGACGGCTGGCCAGAGAGCCACCACCCAAAAGATTCCGAAATAACAAGCACGAAGGAAAGAAACCGGTTGGAAAAACACCCCATCTCCGAAGATTTCAAATGCTCCATGTCAATCAGTGCCGTTGTGGCCCAAAGTCTGCCTCTACCACCTTACCCTTCTTGCCCTTTACCGTAAACTCTGCAAGCAACGCGACGTGATCACTGGGGAAGTGGAAATTCGGGAACCCAGGCACGCGGCGCAGATATTCCTTGTCGACTTCGCCGAGCAACGCCGACACGTGAAGAGTGTTGGAAGAGTACCAAACATAGTCGAGAATGGCAGTGAAATCGGAGGTGTAGTTGGTGAAGCTCAGTTCTCCCATGGAGGAATAGGCTGACTTCAACTTGAAGGGATGTGTCATGCCAACCCGGCTGAGGTTCCCGTAAAGTCGCTTCTCCAGATCGGGATGCGCTTCGGGAAGTCGTCCAGTGGAGATCAAGTTGTAAGCCGCAGACCCCGGTGAGGAGTTGAAATCACCGCACATGAGAACAGGGATCTGATCACCACTAGTGTACTCCATCGACGGGGCTGGCTCGACCACGGGCGCGGTCTCTGCGCCACTTTCGGCCTCTGAGAAGCGGAATGCGGTCTTGTCCATACAGGCGGGCCATTTGGCGTAGTTGTCCGAGAGTTTGGTAATCTCCTCCATCAGAATCGCCGTCTGGATGAGCTTGACGTCCTTGAAGGCCGGATCCCAATACAAATGAGCGTTCACACTGATGAAGCGAGCACCAGTTTGCCGGTTTTCCAAGAAGATCACAACGGCGATGTGGTCCTTCTGCCACAGTCGATTGTAGATATCATCTTGGCCCTTGGCGTCGGGTCGACGGACGGCTGTCTGACCGAAGTTGATCAGTTGCTTGTCCAACAGGATGTACTTGCTTCCCTTGAAGAATGTAGCACATCCATCGACCATCCGGGCGTCTTCCTCTTGCATCCCCATTGCACGACCACGCGGCCAGTAAACACCTTTGTAGTCATTGTAGGCAAGCTGCTCTCGGAAGAAATCGTTGTAACTTCCCTGATCAACTTCCTGAAGGCAAACAATATCTGAGTTGTGGGATCGTAGTTCGTTGAGAATAAGCTCGCGGCGGTATTCCCAAGATAGGACACGCGAGGGCACATAGCCGTAATGCGATTGGGTGGCAGAGGAGTCACACAGAGTGTTGTATGACAGTACGGTGATCTTTTCCGTATTACTGTTGGACGAGGTTGAAGTGTCATCAAGGATCACCCAGTCACGGTCAGGAGGAGGTAGGTGGACTTCTTGAAGTTAGCCAGAAATCCGACGCCAAGATGCTCGAAAGCGAAAGGATCAGTTAAAACACACCTGGCATCTCTTCTCTCAGGTACCTGATGAGAGCCTTGGTTCCGTCCTTCATGATCTGAGATTTGAGGATATCGTTAAGGGGATTGCCCTCGATGCCCAATGTTTCCAACCGGTAAAGATACCCCATTTCGTAAGGGAGGGTGCGAATGTTGTTATCGAAGAGAAGGAGTTTCTTCAGGTTTGAAAGCATGCCCAGTTCTTCTGGCAGCTCGGTCAATTCATTTCCCGACAGATCCAGATGATTCAACTTCCGCAGTTGTCCAATAGCCGGAGGCAGCACTTTCAACTTGTTAGAGTTGAGGTACAGCTTCTCAATGAAGCCATAGTTGAACAACGAGGTAGTCAAAGCGCGCAATCCTTGGCCACCGAAATCAAGCGCATTCCAACCCTGTCGGCTAGCTGGCTTTCCTGCTGGGGCACCATTGCGCCCCTCTATCCCATTCTCAGTGTCAGTGTTGCTGGAAATGAGCTGAATTCCTTTCGTCTGTTGGGCAATGACACGGGCATGGTAGTGGGGAGAAGTGGCTTGTCTCGATTCGGCCGCAAGCTGGAGCTGCTGCTGCCAATGCTCGTTCATTGATTCATCAAGATCTTCGTCCGCGGTCGGTACTCCGTTCTGCAGATGCGTCGAGGTGAAATGAGAAGCTGTCGTAGTGGCCAGTGCGCCGCCGGGGAAATTGTGTTGATGGGTAAGGTTGTGGGTCGCTTGAGTGTGATGAGCATGATGGTGTGGCTGCTGTGTGTGATGAGAGTGGTGGGTTTGTGACTGGAACTTCGGAATCGGCATGCCAAACCGCTGGTGGGCTTGACCGCCATTCATCATGACATGCTGGCCTTGGTGGGTTTGGCCGTACATGTTGTTGAAAGGACTAAGAGCCGCAGCCTGGTTTAGGGCAGGAGATCGGGAGGGGGAGGGGGTGTCGGTATTGAATTTCAGTCGACCCGTCGGAGAATTGGTCCCGTTTCGAACGATGTGTCGCTGGTGAGGGTTCTGCTGTGCTTGAGCTTGGAAGTAGAACTGCCCGGCCCCAGGCTGCTGGAACCTGTAGGTACCATCTGCCATTTAACGTGGCAGACGAGACCGTGTTTTGTTTCCCTGGTGGAAAACCTGTTGGTTGGTGGGCGGCGCTAAGTTGAGTTGGGTCGAGAAGAGGAGAGGAGAGGATCGGAGACGGTCTCTTCTCTTCTTCCACATAGAGGCCTAAAGCAAAATCACCTGTATCAAACCACGATTGAGGGTTGCCGGTGACTTTGGTACTAGGAGTGTCTTTAGGTGTGCAATGGAGCGGTACCTCAGGGCGATGATTGGGCGGAAGGATCAATAAGAAGGCGTGATCGGAAAGGTAAAAAGAGATTGGGTGACGGGGAGTCGAAGAAGATTCAGTGGTGCAAGATTGACGCAGCAAAGATGAGCAAACCAAACGATTGTCTCCAGGTCGATGAGGACGTCTTGAGATGACACTGGTGGTTTGCAGCGAGACGGGAGTCACGGGATCACGTGAATCGCCGCAAGGGCCAAAGTCTTTCCCAGCTTTGATGAGCTTGGCTTGCCAAGACACAGTGTTTCTCAAATGGTTGCTCTTTTTTGGGGGGAGGGAATCGGTTTGGCATTGATCATATGTTCTTCATCTATCCCACACTTTCACGTTACTTTTGCGACCGATGAAACTGTTTCTATGAGAACCAGCCACGTGGTTGACATTGCCTGCCAAACACCATGGGCAGACGCAACTATCGTTGGCAAGCCGGATCTGCACCTGATTTTTCATTCTGCCTAGACATCTTGTTTGAAGCTAGCTAACATCAGGGGGACGGAGGAGTTCTCCCTACAAGTGAAAGAAATTTGGGCTTATCAGGGATCTCAAACCCATGGGGTGTGGCAAAGAGGGAACCCAACCTTGACCAGAGGATTAAAAGAGTGAAGAAAGGCCCTGAGCTATGCTCAGTCCTCGTAATATCCAACATCTCTCCAATTGAGTCTGATCTCTTTCATTGGTCCTACATGTCAGAAGATCATCGCGTCTTTGTGTCAAATCAGGTCAGCTTTTCCCCTTGGCGGGAATGACTTGGGCGAGACAGAACAGCCAATAGGTTCCTTTTTTTTGCTCAATTCCGCAGATTCCAAATCGTATGATGAAAGACAGAGTGCCACCTTGGAACGCCGGTGAGGTGTATCACTATAGTCTTCATTGGTGAATACCTTCAATATACCATCCTATGACCTCTTTACGAAGCAGAAAGACTGTTGACTGATGTTGAATGATCTTGAGTGATGTCTGAATACTCCGTAGAGGTTTCTTTAATGATAATTTCCCTCGTCAAATGGCACCTGGGCAGACTCTATTTCAGCCCTAGTGAACATAGAGATGTCGTTCATCGCTTCTGCGAGGTAGCACAGCCCTACGCAGTATCCACGCATTTTCACCAAAGGGACAGCTCCAACGGATTCATCTGGCCCTGGTTTTCCCATCTACAGTTGCCCTTTTCTTACCGGTCAGATTTGCCTCTTCTAGTCCGCCAACTCCTGTGTCTTGACAAATCCAACGGGTCCTCAAAAGTACGTGGCAAACGCTACGGTGTCGAAATTTCGGATCATTCTGCAGGTACAGAGGATGTTGTATGCGTTGGAATTAATACCGGAAAGGGCACGGATCACAGTGCAGACGATCGCGTGGAATAGCCGATACCACAAATGCCTGCCTAGACTTGGCATAGGGCACGGGGTAAGCCGGTACATTTCCAAGGTTGTCTCAGATAGAGAGACAATGAGCTAAGGCCCAGACTGCGGATCCAATTATGAAATCACGAATGGATATGACGGGTAGAGATCTCCGACGGGTGTGTATCCAGTGTATTCAGTGTATCCAGGTTTACCAGGAAAAATTAATACGTTCGTTGCCAGGTGTACGGAGTACTCCGTACATAATTTGCTAGTGATACTTTTAGATTTGGATGTATCTTATCAATCAGAAGGGAGCCTTCGATCAGGTGTTCGTTGGCTCCTTATATTTGATTCAAGAGGCTGACAAGTGAGGATTCATTATTCTCCTAGATAGGTCCAAAAAGTAATCTGCTCAGCATAACTATAGTGTCTACTCCGTACCCTGGCCAGCATGTCCCTTTCCGGCGATCGATGGCCGGGTGTAGAAGTCATGATGTCAATGATATAAAAATCGGAAAAACTTCCAACTCTTCAGCACAGAGGGTAAAACAACATATTTCAGGAGGACCAGGGGACTCTAATACTAATATTTCACGGAGTTAAGTATTGTTACTGTTACCGTGAAGAGACTAAACTAGACTCAAGTGGATATTCAACTTCCAGGGGTCAGACCTGCTTTTCTTTTCTCTTCTCCTCCCCCATTTGTTCTTGAACTCCGTGAAGATTTCCCTGTTCAAGGTATTGACCTTGTATGCACAACTAAAGGATTATCTTTAGCAGTACTTTGTTCTTGACGTTGAACAAGAAATTTTCGTCAGCTCTGCACCCGGCTGCACTAGGGACTATTTCCGAGCCCGCTTTGATCCCCATCACCGTTCCTGTTCGATTCCAATTTTGTTTTGTTTTTTCTTTTTGTTTATTCTATTGCCTATTTCCCTTCCCTTGGAGACATTTTCCAGTCAAAATATAAAAAAGGCCTCCAGAAAAAAGGCATGCATCGTTCATGAAAGCTTCGCTTCAATCGTGCGCCGAGAATGCGACCGGACCCACAATCTTCAGAGTCATAGGGGGCACCAATCGATATACGTGAGGAAAGCGATATGGACATTCTGGCACTAGGGTTCTCGGGTGCAACCGCCTCCGGCTCCGATCTGCACTCCAAGTTGAGCTCGACACTGGCCGCAACCTCCTCTTCGTCCCTGACTTCACTTACGGACTACTCAACATACCCTGTAATGCGCCATGGAGGCCGCACTTACTTTCGCGACCCGGAGAACGCCTACCCTTTGCCCTGCGACATGCCCGAGATCCATCGCCAAAGCCTGCGCACGTTGATGCTGCTGCGCGTCCTCGGCGGCCCATTTTGCAACCCCCATTTAGCTAATCGGCCTCCCAAACGTATCCTGGAAGTCGCATGCGGGTCCGGTTTGTGGTCTGGTCTGTGCCATGAGTACTTCGCCCGGAATGGCCACCCCGATGTTGCCTTTGCCGGGATAGATGTAATCTCCATTGCGCCGGATATGCGCAAGCAGGGAATGAACTGGCAATTCAAACGTCATGACCTACGCCGACCCCGCTTACCCTTCCCGGATGACTATTTTGATTTCGTATTTATCAAGGATGCCGGCATGTGTCCTTCCAGCCCCGCGCAATCTGCATCTGGCTTGAGCGAGCCCCTACGGGTGCTGAAGTCCGGGGGGATTCTCGAGGTGTGGGATTCGGATTGGAGCCTCCGCTCGCTCCTGCCCAATCCGGCTCCGGCACGCAAATCCCACTCGAAAGAACAGGAGGTCGCCGATGCCACGGCTACCTATACATTCTCCTCTGCCACACCATTCACACGAGCGCAGAACAAGTTCGTGGTGGATTATAATTCCTGGGTGCAGAAGTCGTTTGACCGTCTTAAATTGACAGCGCTCCCGTGCGCGACCATCGGTCTATCTTTCAACTCCGAAGTGGACTTGTTGGAAAATGTGGACAGTCGCCGCGTTGCAATTCCACTGGGTGACTGGCGCTGGGAACGAGATAGCCAAGGCAAGGATGCCAACAACAGTTCACGAAAGAGCCTGACTCCAGAGCAAATCTCCATCCGGCGCACGGCTCTCCTCACTACCATACAGATGATTGAAGGGCTGGAGCCGATATTGATGGAGTCTAGTGGAAAGAGCCGTGACGAATGGGACCGATGGTGGGCTGCCATGACAGCCGACCTCTTGCAGAAAGGGGGACTCGCCAGCGGCGAGTGCCTTGAAGTGAGCGTTTGGTGGGGTCAAAAAAGATGAAACCCTTGAGTCAATTCGGAGTTCCGGTGGGTAAAAGTCAAGTAGCGACCATTCTGCACTTTATATTGGTGATACCCCCCAATTTTATTTCTGTCTTTCGGGGTTTCTAACATGCCAATGATCTAAATATTTCTGGAGTAGAGGTGAGAGCCATTGGTATACTAGGCCTCACTTCCATATCGTTTTTTCAGCGTTCGGTACCGCTTCAAATAATACCTGGGTTATATTTTTATCATGTCAGTTACCATCAACGCAAAATTGTTGTGATGGGGACCAAAGAAGTTTTTGCATGACGCCTTGCTATGATAATGAGAGGTGAATCTATGCACAGTGTATCTAGCCAGACACTACCCCATTATGGGTGCAATGTATAGAAGAACGACATGTACGGATGATTCCACTGTGCTTCCAAATGATTGCAAGCCAGCAACATAGGCAGTAAAACACGGAAGATGGTTGGATGCGACAGGGCGATATGATAGGGAGGGACGTAGAGACCAGTCTTACAGCGCTTCTACTTCTGCAGTGACAATTAGCAACATATTCTCAATTGTAAATCAGGTACAGGGATGAGAATCCCAGCGCAAAAGACAGCACCCACCTTTCTTCACAAATTCAGCCCTCGCTATACCCTTGCGGATTTGCTCCTCGTCGGTAATGTGAGTCTGACTTGTAAACGCACGGTGTAACCGATCCCGGAAATACTGGTAGCCTAGAGGATATTCCCGTCCTAAGAACAGAAGCTCTACATCTCGGGGTTTTAGCATGGAACAGATGACCGGTGCAGGGGTTCGAGTCGATACATGACGCGTACGGCTTCACACCTTTGTAGACATTTATGACCTGCCGGCGCAGCTCAGGATTTACCATGGTTGCTCCATCTAAGAACAAGGCAGTTCTGGTAGAAAGTTGGTGACGGGGATGCGGTGCAAATGAAGGTACGCGGCTGACTCCGCAAGGCACGTCACCGATAACACCCGAAGTTTCTCCTACAGGTGTTTTAATATGCTACAGCTATCTACAGATATATAGCCTGCCTTTGTAGCAATTTGGACATTCTGTCTTTTTGCTTTTCTTCGCACACTTGCTTAAGATATTGACACAAAAGAAGAAAGAAAAAAAACACACAAAAATGATGTTAATGCAGCATCAAGGTCAAACTCCCCTATAGTCACGCGGGGTTCTAGCCGAACCGACCTCGGCCTAAGCTTCTGGTTATCATTTATCGGAGAGCGCTGGATGAACTGTCTATCCACAACTATTCGATATGCTTCCACAATCGGCTTTTCGAGCGCAGCTGTATGCCCCAATCTGTCTGTACTCTAATGGCACACGTCGTCTCTTCTCTGCGACTTCCGCGGCCTTCAAAGTCCAAGAACCCTCCGATTCAGTCTCAACCCCGATCAATCCACGATGGCTTACAGCAACCAAGCGAAGGGTTGGAAAGTGCTTGATGTTTGGGATGAAGCCAGCCCAGATAGATGAGGGGGGTAGGATTCTACAGCAACTAGCCAAGGAATGGCGGGAACTGATCGCTGGGGGTGAGGGATTCCTCACGGACAAAAAGCGGCGTAGTCTTTATCGCCATCATGTGGTCTGGGGGGAACAGGTAAGAGTTTGGGCTATGTTTTATCTCCCCTGTGCATGGGATTCAGTAATGCTAAGTCTGCTTGTGATGGATTAGGACACTATGGTGAGAACATTCGTGCTCCCTACCTGTTGCGCTTACTGGATGGGCTATATTGGATTCTTAGAACGAAGCTAATCCGGACAACAGGGTAAGCCTCGTCACTTTGCTTTTGTATTTACTCCTCGCCAATTCATGGATCATGCCGTGTTAACTAGTCTAAGGCCACGTCAACAATGTTGCCTATGTTCGATACGCCGAAACAGCTCGAGTAAACTGGACGCGCAATATCGGTAATCATCTCGATACAGCAAATAAGAAAGAATGGATCAATATGCTTGGTAATACAGGAATTGGGATCATCATGAAAAGTATCAAGATGGACTATAAATTTGTGCGGTATCCCTGAGACCCGAAACCCACCCCGGTGGGAAAGCAAATGAATGGGCCTATTTACTCACTATCACACAGCCCATGGAATCCCCAGACAAAATTACTGTGTATCAAAAGTTGGTCCCAGACCCGTCTAGGCATCTTTCAGCCCAATCGGCATTCCGACTCGAAGTCATGATCTTATCTGAAGCGCACCAACGGCTTGCTGCTCGTTGCTTTGAGGATATAGTGATATATGACTATAAGAAGAACCGCAAGACTGTAGCTATCCCGCCATTTGTCATGGAGCAGTTTGAGACTATGTGGGAGCAGCAGGAGCAGGAGAAGGAGAAATGGAGGCAGCATATTGCTGATATCGAAAATCGGGTTCGAAGTCTTGAGCTTGAAAGCTGGGATCGGGCGGACGCTGTGGAAGACAACGGGTCTGCGTGATAATGATTACAATTGGGCAGAAGCATCGACGAATGGAATTTCTGGGGTCATGGACGACGATGTTTCTTTCTTGGGCACTTGCTTGACAGCTGCAGTTCTCTGCTCTTTACAAATCCACATTCGAGGTCTCATGTATGCCAGACCAATTGAATATTAGATGAGGAAGGGAACGTGGTCATACCATTGATGGTAGCAGCAGCAATAAACCGGTATCTCATTTCAAAAGTGATCATGGCAAAATTGGCCTAGGACTCAACCCTGGTGTAAGCAGTACAGAATAGCACCCGTGGGCAAGGTATCACATTATGCATGTACCAAGAGAGTTATCTGGGTCTGACCCGTGATCAACAGCAACCCTAAATCAAGATCAAATTGCTTTCTTGGTTGTTCTATAGGTCCTAGCGCTGGTTCTACCCGTTGACATAGAAGCCTACAGACATCACTGGGTGGGGTGTATCATTGAGGCTCTCATATCATCAGGGAGCCACTAGCTTGTACAGTCTACAACATTTACAGCATGATGGTCAATTCCCTGCATGGTATTCATACCGAGTTTCAATCCTCCCCAATTAAATAACTCAAAGCCTCAACCTCTTTGCAATCTCAATGCCCTCTGCAATAGATCCCACCCGGGCGTCAATCGCAAACCCTTCACTCTCCAACCTTTGCAACTCCGCCGAAAGCTCCGACACCGGAAGTGTGAAACACTCAATAAACTCATTATCCTCGAGATCAGGCTTTGGATTCTGATTTTCCGGAAGAGACATGTCAACCTGAACGTAAACCATGTTGAAGTTGGCATTACAGAAGCCTGGATCTAGACAAGTATCCCAAGTCAGCTAAAATACAGTAGTCAAACGAATAACTAGCCCACGAACCATTGTACATAATACCAGTAGTCTTGTCAGCAATACCAATGTACCCGGTTTCTTCTTTCAGCTCTCGGACTGCAGTTTGTTCAATTGTCTCCCCTGCATCGATCAATCCCGCGGGGAGCTCTATGACGACTTGGTCAATCGGAGGCCGGTATTGCTTCTCCAGAAGGATCTCAGGGCCATTTTCCTTATTCAGAAAAGCGACGATGTTGACTCCATCGACGGGTGAGTCTGTCGGCCTTGTCTATGATTTGATTAGGTCTTTTAGTTGGATATATATAACCTCGACATTCGTACCTGGCGCTCCGCGGACTCCCAGTCTCTCTTGATTCCATTGGGATCGATGTAACTAGTTTTGACTAGTCGTTTCCATTTGGCATCCTGGCAAGTCTTGGGGCTATAAGTAGCTGAGAGTATAGTCAGACTAGGAACATATATACCAGGGGTTCTCGTGAGAGAAACGTGGACTTGAGATTTGTCATTTAATGAGTTGGCCCCTCAGCTCTTCAGAATGGGGATTGAACTGCGAGGAATTGAGAATTTGGTATTATCTTTCCAGAATTCTCTCGATTGATTGCAACCTTCCGAGGTGGGCACCCCTAGAGGTGCCCGCGAAACACAAGATGACTAATGTGGTGCTCACCTTTGCAGTCCTGGGGGTGTTATATTGTGCTGATAATTTTTTTAATCCTAATAAGATCACACAGTCCCGATTCTTTCCATCTTTAATGATCACTCAAATGATCTTTTTTGACTTGAATTAGATGGATTTCGGATTATTGAGACATGCTTGCCCCCGACCCTTTCTTTATGTACTTGTCTTGAAAAATTCTTCTCGATCCTCCGAGAGCACAAGCTAGCAAGTTCCACCATACGGTCCACAGAATGATTACCACACCTAGTCAAGCTTTTGGAGCTTCCATATATCACAGTAAACTCATTGAACTGCTTCAAGAATGACCACACTTGGGTCGTGTCTGATTGGCAGCGTCTGGGAACTCCTTGAAAAAACCATCATCTCTTTGGATCAAGACGAGATTAATTTGTCCTCAAGCTTATCCCCAAAACAGATACACTGGCTTTTCTGAAAATTATACAATGTCTTAGTCAATGCCGATAATTACCATCTAGCCGGAATTCTTCACCAGGCCGAAGCGGAGATCAGTCTCTTCGGCACGAACCTATATTCTCTAAAGTAGTTTTTTGAGACATACCACCTGAGTCCTAGCTGGGCATCTTTTATTAATTGTATCCCTTGGAATTACAACGTTTAGAATATTCTTTCCACAGGTGCTAGGGAGCTCAAGAATGGCTTGCTTCTCGTTCCTGCTACGAAGCTTGTAGACTAGCTATGCCTAGATCCCATGAGAAGAAAAATAAGAACCCCTTGTTTTAATGAAGGTCCCGAGTTGGACCCTCTTTTACAATCATCTTGGATCCGATTGTCCTTATGGTACTCCGAACTGTGTGATTGACCGAACTACTTGTCGTGATAAGAGAGAGGAAGACGGAAAAGGAAACATCGATTGGTTCAAACTGTTAAATGAGGGAAAAGGAAGCGGGAAGACCGATCGAGGCGAGGATGAACCTTGGAAGGTACTATCTGGCTTGGGCAGAAAGGCTGTTTTTACCTACAGAGAAACGTATGTTGTCAGAGTTGTCCCGATTGATTACCTGTACTAGGAGGGCGGGCATCTGGGCAGGATACAAAATACCTCGTGTGGCGCAGAAGGAGCTCTGGAGTGTCCAGGTCAGCAGCATGGGCTATCTTGCACTCAAATCACTACATGGCATCACTCCTGTACATTTTGAATTGAGACTTCAAATCACCCCCACCCTCAGACATTCCCTTTGCAGCATCGTGTTCTAGGGAGAGACTTGCTATGAAACGGCAGCGCGATCATACACGCATGACAATGATATAATTGCACATATGTTCTCGGTCCAGATGTTCCTTCACTTGTCGACAATTATGGAGTCAAGCCTTGTGTTGCTGCCTGTAAGACGCATACCACCCCGGCGCTATCGTTGCTTCGGGATGTGAAAAGTTGATCGTGGACGTACTCTTGGGGCCAATATTGGCCTCTTTCTGTTAGTGATGAACATGCAGGAGGAACATGAAAGGCTTTGTAGAAGGGAGCGGTTGGCAATAACGTGCCCCGAAGAGTCTCTTCAGACATAGATTGACGATGGGTCTCGTCGTATTGGAGACTTTGGTGACAACGGGTTTACATAGTCCCATGTAGCTAGGTCAGTACATAGCTAGGTTTTTATGTGGTTCCAAGCGGGGTATAATAATCTGATCCTCGTACTGGCCAAAATCAGGAAAAACAAATGTGATTTCAACGGGGGATGGAATGTGAGCCTCGGGGCATACAACGTTTTCATTCATTGTGAAAATTAAGATCCATCCCTTGTTCTTTTCTTACGGATTTTCTTACGGATTTAATGTATGCCTTTTGTGTCTTAAGATTTCTCTAGTCACTACCGTATGAAAAAGAAGGCCCGTTTCACAAAGTGAAATTTGGGCATGTCAGCCTTATTTCCGATGTGTATTTCGTACACTATTCACATCTGTAGACAGTATCCATGTGCGTACCTATGGAGTTGATACATTCGCTCTCACCTATATGTTTAGGTTCCTGGTTGTTCAGGGCCAACTGATATACGGAGTATACACTAACTACATGCGGCCCAAGTAAACTCTAAAAAAAGATTTGCCTTGAACAGACGATTCGATGGATGATGGGACTATGAAGGGCTCGAAGCTGACATTCGTGGGAGTAAATACATGGTGCGATCGAGATCGAGATACGTTCACCGGTTAGCCGAGATTTCGTTTATTACCGAGACACTGCCTCAGGAGGCGAGAACTGGAGCTAGTAGGAAAAGCGAAGGGATCGACCTTTAAAAACTTGAAGTTTATCGGACCCAAGCAAAATCCGGTTCTAAAAGAGACTAAGTGGACACGCTAGTGGAAGTGTGTAATTTTCCAGAATTGCCCTTTTCTTCAGAACTCTGGATTAGAAACCCACATGTTTAGAGGGCCAAGGCAATGATCGAGGGGGTTAAATAACATAAGGTGCTACCATTGTAGGGCTCACCGCATATACACATAAATAGCCCAAGTCATCACCAAGCCCGTCCGGCCGATCTTCACTGCGTTTGTGGCTGATCTACAAACCCTCTCCAGGGCTGCCAAGCCCCGGGTATCGGACAGGAGGGGGAGGACCAGAATTGGCAAAAGCTGTACGGAGCACGGCAATTTGACATCTATTTTCTGCGAAAGAAGAACCTCGTTAGAGAGGTAATCGAATGTTTGGATCACTCAATCTCGATCTATCCTCAAAACGTCATTTGTAAAAAGGATCTAGACCTATGCTCGTACTAGAACAGTAGAACCCGTGCGGAGCCTTTCAGGAAGATGCACGAGATGGCCGAGCATGTGATGATCCCAGGGAGAATGTGGCCAACCTTGTTATTACAAGTTGAGATACACAAGCTTCATTTCCCCCATACTAACTCCTCACTCCTATCCCCCAATGCTCAGGATTGCGTGTCTATGGCCTAGAGGCGCATTGATCTACAAACTAGCCCCCCCCCTAATGAGTGGTCACCCTACCTGATCCAAGGATTCGCAACACAGATCATAAGTCCGGCGCAAGGATGACCCCGCAGCAGACGGGTCAAGAAACGGACGATCGTCAATCCAGTTAGTTATTTTGACAGCAAATGCCGGTTGGTGATCGAACCCGGCTTCCAAGTTGATCAGTACGTTGTAGGTTGTATTCCATAGTTACTAGCTTATCAGCCCTAGTCAACCCCTTGGCACTGAGGCAACGGAGATCACTCGGTACTGAAAACCTTCCTGGATCAAACGCAGACACACTTCGGATTGGTCAATGTGTAGGTATCCGCGCTGCATAACTTGGCAACTGCAGCGGTTGTAGCTAGGCGTGACCTGTCAATCAGCCCTTTTGTATCGTAAGATACGGAGGTGTTCAGAGTAAGAAAGCTTGGCAGGGAATGCGTCGTGCTGGATGTGATTTTCCATGCAGAAACTCCAGATCGACAAAAGAAGCCAAGATTGATAACCAGGAGCTTTTCAACTGAATTTTGCCATCTGCTCCAAGTACTCCGTAAGTACTCCGTACTCTCCGTACTCTCCGTACAGAGTACACAGTACCAAAATAAAATAGTGGCAGATGGTATTGAAGCTTAGTACCGCCTACCCAAAAGGCGCCCGTGATCGACACTAAATGACAATACCAATACCAATTCTGTTTCTTTCGTCTTCATACAATTCCACCTGGGCACTTTTTCCCCTTCACGTTTCCACGTAGAGCGTCGTCTCTTGCCTTTCTCTCTTTTTTTTTATTTTTTTCATTTTCCTTATACATTTACTGCCTTTTTCTTTTACATCCTCACTGCAATACTAACTACGCTATACTATTTCCTTCACCAATCACATCCAATTTTAGTCCGTTTTCGCCTTTTTCCTGGTCCCAGTCCTTGGCTTCATCCCGCCAAGCTGACTCGGACCTGGGTTTCGGGCTCCCTCGTCCATGACACGCTCCGCTGCATCTAGGAAGAACCAGAGCAATCGGCAGGAGAATGGCCTCGTCGGTCCCGGCAAGAAAGTAACCAAGCAAAAGTCAAGCGGCCATCTCAACGGCCACTCGGGCAACGGCTCTGCTACCGGTCCGGACGCGTCTGCTCACTTCGATTTATCTGCTGTACGATCGACTAGCGATACGACTGTGACATCTCCGACAAGCGCCGGCAAAGGAGGGGATAGCACGAAGGCAGATGGCAATGTGCGTGGGATGTTGAATGGACACAGCAAGGGTGGAGAAATGGCAGCTGCGCAGGGAAACGGTGATGTCGCCCAGAATGGTGGCATAGCAGGTCATGCCTCTCGCAATGGAACCTCGAAACGATCCGGATCCAATGCCTCGATCAATCCGCTCCAGCTCGCATCCACTATCCTCAAATCGTGTCCCATGTACGACACCATCGCCATCTTGATTTTTTTGCTACAGCTTCCACCAATGGTCTTGACTCTGGTGCAGTTCTTGTTCGCCTCCTTAACTTTCATGCCTCCGAGTGGCGCCGCGGCTGGTTCTTTGTCGTCGAACTTCGATATTTTTCAGGGTCCGGCTGGGACGCCATCTCTGGGGACGATGATTGCGATGGATGGGTTTTGCATACTGCTCTGGGGCCTCCTCATGTGGACTTGGGCGCAAAACTTTGCCATCGATCTCGCTCATGTCCAAGTTGCTATCACCTTGGGTGGCGGGGGTTCTGGGAAGAACGGCGGGGTCAATGCTCTCTGTGTCGGAATTGTTCTGTTTCTTCATCTTGTTCGCAGTAAAGGCATTCAGGAATTTGTCTTGGGTCATCTTGTCTCTGCTAAACTACTCAGCCCCGATCTCCTTTCCCAGTATTCCCACCTGCTACCCGCCGAGTTCCGACGCTCCGAAGCACAAACGTCTCCGAGCTGGCTCCGCAGCCTTCTCGCAGTGCACATCCTTGCACAAGCTGGAACCGCCATGGCACGACGTTCGATGGCCAAGAATCGGTCGCCGACACCGTTACGGACCGGCAAGCGGGGCGATACGGAGGCTTCTGCGGGGTCACAAGGACAAGTTGATTCGGCTCTGGAATCCGCTGCCAGTGTTTCGTCTTCTTTCGTGGGACCTGATGGTCAGTTGAAAGATGGAAAGGATCGCTTCACATCAGCCAAGAAACGCAGACGGCAAGCGAATCAAGTTCGGAGCCGACAGCCGTTCTGGGCTGCACTTGCCAGTACAAAGGTCACGGTGATGAGAGAATATGAGCATTCGCGAGCTGCCTCTAAAACAGCCCGCAATCTCACAATGACGGAGGAGGATCTGCAGGGTGTATCTCTCGACGACGGGTTAATATGGATTACGGATATGGATAGCTCTTCGATCAAATTCGCCGCGGGGGAATTTACCGATGACCCCCCTGTGTCGGGTTCCTTTGAAGCCGGCCGTTTGGGTGGAGACATGGAACCGTTCTACGTCTGCGTCAATGGTGCGCTCTGGGCTACCGCTTCGATATGCAGGGTTTCAGATGCCAAGGGACCGAGTGTCGTCCAATGGCGGGGCGAGATCGCTGGGCTTGCTCCCAACTGCGCCTACACATGTGCTTTTGTACGAAGCGATACCGACGAGGAAATTTGTGTCATGAGTGTCAAGACGCCCGCAACGACTGACACAGAGCAAGGTAAGTTCATGTTGAATGATGGGGTTTTTTTCAAATTGGTTTTTTTTTTCAATAAGCTCATTGCTTGAACAGTCGTTTCCACGGTATCGACACCACCGCAGCCGACCTACCGTCCATCATCCCCCACAACAACGCTCAAGAACTCTATTAGCAATGCAGAATCCAAATTGAATGAGAAGCGCAACCGCCTGAAAAAGACGAAGAACGACCACAAAGCTGTCATTTCGAAAATCCGGAAAGAACTCGAGAACTTCAATACTCGCCTCCACAGCGGTAGCGATGAGAATCGCCAAAAGCAGCGCTCGCTTCAACTAGAACGAAACATTCGGCAAACTGAAGAGGCTACTGCAGCACTAGAGATACAACTCGACACCATGGAAAGTGTTCCGAAGGAGGAAATGGAAGAGTGGTCGGCGCACAAAGCGGATTTCGATCGTGAGGTAGAGCTTTTCAATGCGACCAAGGAAGAGGTCACTGCTGCTCGGACAGCTGCAGCTCAGCAGGTGGCGGCACTGGAGTTGGAATTGACACAAGCTATCCAGAAGCGCGAGCGTCTCCAGGGTCGCCGCACCCGGGTGAACGAGCAGTATGAGCGTATCATCTCGGCCAACGCACAAGGGTTGAACGAGAGAGAACGTCGGGCTGCCGAGCAATTTGCCAGAGAGCAGGACCAGTCAAAGATGGAGACCAATTTCCATGAGCAGTTCGGGAGCATCAGCCAATCTGTGCAGGATTTCCAGCTGCGCACGAGTCAACTCTGGCAGCAGGCATCTGCAATTGAGCAGTCTATTCAGCAACAACAGCAGCAAATGCTTCTGGAGTCTGGTCCTCTCACCCCCGAAGGCAACTTGCCAGGCACAAATCTTCTACTAGAGACCAGTGGTCTGTCGTTCAACGCATCTACGACCACTGCACCTAGCGCTCGATCTCTGTTGGGGGCTCTCAGCTTTCCTCCTGCGAGGTCTAGTCCACTACAGATTTCGTCTTCTCCAGTCTATGAAATGCTGTCAAATCCAACAAGCCCATCGCAAGACCTTCCCTTCCTCCCACAGTTTCCAAGCTCGCCCGCCGGCAACGTGGACTCATACTTCGGGTCAGGCATCAACAACCGAGACCGTTCGTTCTCCAACCGCTCCACTCGCAGCAGCCAATACGGCTCTGACTTCTTGGACACGAACCGCTTGCCACCTCTCCAACTTGACCTAGCCGAACTGCTTGGTGAGACCAAGTCTCGCCCTGGGTCCGATGGGAATGGTTTCCTGCATCAAGGTGGCCGTCCGGTTTTGAGCCCTTTCCAGCGAGCCGTAAGTCGAGGTAGTGGCACTGGTAGTGGTAGTGGCGGTAATGGCAGTGGGAGTGGCAGTCCGCGTTCATCGCGAGACTAGGTCTCTCGGCGCTTGCTTCCGCGGTCTCAACCCTAGCCGCGCTTTCAAGTTCGTGCTCGATCTCAATTCCATGTTTGTCTTCCGAGAAGTGGCCTCAAGTTTTGTGTGTCCGTGCTTTGGTTCCGTCCGGTTGGATTCCCCGCCTTGTGCTAGTGACTCTCTCTCTCTCGTCGGCCTGCACTGTGATGACTCCTGGTTTCTTGGGTCATTGTGGTGGTGTGGCATGCATCTCGCGAAGAGATGGCAATTCTATGGATTCGATCGAAGTGAGATATATGGCAGTTCTGTTCCCAACACCGAAACACAAACGTGTTCTATATTCGGTTCTTGTATACTCTCTCTCTCTCTCTCACACACACACACACACACACACACACAAAAAGCGTAGACGCATCAATATCATGAAAGCATTTCTCATCTTCATTTTTTCAACTTTACTAAAGATCATACAATGCAAAGACCATCAGAATTAGCTGTGATACTATATGTCTAGTCAAGGGTCTATATACAGCCCGAACGCCACATTTCCCAAGAAATAATATATACAATGCTTTGTCAGAAGACACAACGAAGCACTTTTCCTTCGGGGCTCAGATGAAACCAGATATGCCAGACAACTGTCCCAGCTCAAAGTTCACCTCCCATCCTCCAAAATTTGGTATTTGCATATGCTAAACATAGCCGCTCGGGCGAATGCTCACCCAAGGCTTTGCCGTCCAGCCCCTGCGCCGAAACAGACCCAGAGCCCTCGATCGCCCGGACAACAGTACCCAGCACAATTGAGTGATCATGCACATCAATCTTCTCCGGATGCAGGGTACATTCAAAAACAAAAGGAAAGTCAACCCCATCACTCGCAGCTGCTGCATCCGCCCTCCGCTGAAGAATAGGAAGTGGTCTTTGAAAATGTCCATCTTCGTTCTCAGTAGGCAAAGCCGCGAGCTCAAAATCCCCATGTCCTTTCAACATTGCAGCGAGAGTGACATTCCCCTTAGAGAAATCTCTAGCTAAAGTCGCAGTCGCCGGACCCGGTGCAAGCAAATGAACCAGGAACCGGCGCGAAGCAAGTAGCGCATTCAATGTCTCCGATGGGCGGCGCACGTTGAAAGAGATCACAGGGTGCGGGGTGAGAGTGACAGTGTTGAAGGAGGAGACTGTCATGCCGCGGAAAGATGTGGTATTTTCTGGGCCGGAGGGATCGGTTGCTGTTATGATTGCGACGGGGTAGGGGACTCGACGCATGAGGAGGCGGACTTGGTCGGATATAGATATCGTAGGTGTTGAAGATTGTGGCACAGTGTCTGCATTGGATGGTGTGCTGGCTTTCCCCGTGCAAGCTGTTTCTTTTAGAGGGGTTGGGCCGTTGCTAGTATATCGTCGGTGATCGCATCGTGGGCGGTATGGGTTAAGTGGTGCAGGCGGAGAGGTTCGGAGGAAGAGATGTGCTCCCAGGAATAAGGGTGTAGAGTTCGTAATGTGTGATAATTCTAAATGGTTTCCATTAGCACACTTGACAGAAGCACTCGAAAACACATCATGACGGCCTACCTCCGAGTCCTGTCCGAGCAGTCCCATGCGCGACTGGAAAGGCGAGCTTCATCCCGCCGGCCTAGAATTGACGGAGGTGTGAAAGGTGCTCAGGGAGTCACGCAAGTTTCAAAATCACAGATTTCCCAGACTTTTCCATATCATGTCTAATTTCCCAGGAAAAAGAAGAGAGACTCACAGAGACACAGGGCAATAAGAAGTCATGCTTAACATCGAAAATCCCGAACGGAACAGATCCGCTTACATAACCCGCGATAATTTCTCTGCTATAGCATCAACTTCACAACCTCCGCAACCTCCCCGATAGCATTGCGGCCCCGTCAACCTCCACCCACCTCAACAATCCCCATTGTCATTTACCTCGGGCATTGTTGAACTGACCCATCCAACATGTCAATGCACACCTCCCTCCGCCGCACCGCGGCCACAATCATCAACTCAACAACCACCATCCTTCCTACAAGACTCCCCACGCAATCGAGCAGCACGACCTTCGTCTGCTCTCAATGCCGACATGCAACTCTCCTCCGTCGCCCCAAGCGCCCCTACACCTTCACACAGCTCATCACCCTCTCTGACGGCAGCACCTTCACTCACCGCACGACCTCGCCAGCCCCGATTTACCGTTCCACGCGCGACACGCGCAACTCCCTCCTCTGGAACCCATCCAGCAGCAAGCTGATGAACGTCGAGGAAGATGAGGCGGGTCGTCTCGCGGCTTTCCGTGCCAGATTCGGTCGCAGCTATGATGCCAGCGCGCCTGTTGAAGGAGAGACGGCGGCGAAGGACCCTGTTGCTGCTAAGCAGGCCGAGGCGGAGGCCAAGGCTCAGGCTAAGGTGGAGCAGGAGGAGGAGGATAACTTGCTTGATTTGATTAGCGCTTTCGGGCAGAATGAGGCGCCGCCCCCGCCCGAGAAGAAGACCAAGTTCACTGGAAAGAAGTAGTTGGGCTTGTGGATTTCCGGGTTGAACCAGGGATTTGTCTGGTCTGTACCGCTTGGATGGGAGTTGGGATCTTCTTTTTTGTCTTTTTGTGTTTCTTTTTCTTTGGTTTGATCTTGTACACTATACATATGTCTGGTATGAGCCTGTTGTATTATACCAAGAATTTATCTTTTCTCCCATCCGGGGTTGTTGTTTGTCAAGTCTATTCGGATGCCATTGGTTTTGTAAGCATATCTTTCTTCAAATCTCTTGAAGTCTGCTTAGAGCCGATGTCTACGATGTAGCCCCAAGTGAATCATCACACTGTGACTACCCATGACACAACTTGACATTTCTCATGGCACTAAGCAATACATTGTGAGCTCAACTACCAAATGATTACATCCCAAAGACCAAGAAAAATTGAAATCAATCAAGCAATAGGGTGTCACATCACTCCAGCAACAATACCCCGGCTGAGCCCGCAAAGTACCAAGCACGTGGACGTTCCGCTACTTGATAGGAGTGGCCTGCGGCTGGGCTCAGTCTAGGACAAGAGAAAGAAGTATGCATTCGGAACAGTATAACTAAATAGTGCAGATTATGAATTGGGTTGCTACAGTACGCGAACAATGGTATTCGGAGTGAAGCGGAAATAGAAGAAAAACACAAAGCTTGTCAGCTTGCTGAGCATTACCAGTGGCAGCATGGCATAAACAAACATCGTGAAAGAGTTGTTCCATAATGAATACAAAACCAAGACGAGGAAAAAGACGGCGCTCATTTTCAGGGCTGTGGAAACGCAACCCGGAGGGATATCAAGCGTCATGCTCGGCGGCCAGTAGCCCCGTTTCCGAGCCTGCCTCTGCGGGCTCCGCCGGAGCGGGTTCATCGCTTGCTTCAGCAGGTACATAGTACGGAAGCCCTTCTTCGCCAGCGTCTATACGCAGGAGGAATGTCTCCCAGAGTTCGATCAACTGTGTTCGGGGTCAGCCGGATGAGATAAAACCCGGAAGTGTTGGCAAGAACTTACCTCTTTCTGGGCCTCGACTGCACTTTCAAGGAATGTTTCCACGCCAGACTTGAAGTCCTCCACCTTCTCCTTCTCAAACCGTTGTAGCTCACTCCGCATAAGCCGGCCCATATCCTCGAAGAGCAGCCGCGTTTGGTGTACCTTACGTTCTGCATCCGCGACGTCGGCGTTGACTTGATTCAAGCGGTCTTGCTGAGTTTTTCCCTGGCGGAGTAGCTTTTCTTGGTTGTTCTTGCGCTTCTGTAGATCGGACTCTGCTGCGTGCCAGGTGTGGAAGGCCTTTTGCCGCTGCGTGAAGGCCATTTTGACACTTCCAATTAATCGGATATATTCATCGATTGTGATTCCAAGCGTCAGAACATCCTGTTGCGCTTGTCGGTCATAGAGTTCCCGGATACGTAATTGAAGTTCTGACAAGCCTTCCAATGGATAGGAAAGGGCGGGGGATAGCTCGACAGCAGATAAGGCATGCAATGAGCTCGAAAAGTCGCCTGCAGCCTCGGCTAGACCCTTTCGTTGTAGAATAACAGTGTCCATTGACTTCAATAGAGCCTTCAACTGGTTCTCCAATGCATCCAAGTAGATTTTTCGGTCATGGAACCACTATCAACGTGTGAGCAGGCGAAACCGATTTATTAGAAACGATTCACTTACATCGTCGTGTTCCACAAATTTAGTTCCTCCACCAACGGAAATACCGAAGGAGCTCAGCATTCCCTTGCTTGGGCCAATGTCAGGCTCTCGGTTTTCCTTATTCTTAACATCAAGGGTGAAAGCCTCACTTTCTAGGAAAATCTTCAGATCGCCATCATGTTGAAGAATGGGATGGCCGGCAATCTTGTTAAGCATTCGTTCCAAAGCAGCTCTCCTCGACTCTACAAAGCTGGTATCAAACCGGCCAACTGCTTGCTTCTCGGGCGGAGGCGCAACAACCACTCCCGGGTTACTGCTGTGCAGGGAGTTGTAAAGCCAGAGGAAATCACGGTATCGACGGCTGACAGTGAACTCGGGTTGGCGATAGGCCTTGGATGTTGTCTAGCCACACCGGTAGCCGTTAGCTTCCTCTTTTCCAATCGATAGCTTTCAAGTTCCGTGCAGTCCAATTACCTTCGTCGAAACTTGATAAACAATGTGACTGCTTGTCAGGTCTCCCACTTTGTGCGGATCTCCGACATAGATCTGGAAGGTCGGCTTTGCAGCATCCTCCACGCTTATGCTGGGCTGCGTCTGCCTTTTCAGTCCATCCGCTTGCGCCGGCGGTTGCACGGGAGGGGGTCCTCGGAAGACCGCGGTCTCCTCTTCCAAATTGTTCGAGTCGACTGCATCCGCTCCGTCAGATGCCTGGGAGGGAGAGGAGAGCGGTCGCGCGCCACGCCCGGCGAACGGCTCCTTTTGGGGCGGTGCTGGTGCTTCATCTGTGGGTGTTGGGGTGGCCTCGGCAGGCGCTTCGCCCAATGGACCCAGGGGGTCGACGGAATCATCAACGGATTCAAGTTTAGTGGCTTGTGCGCTGATCTTGCGTGTCCCTCGTGGGCCTCTTCTCCCTGGTATGCGGACAGCGGGCGAGCTGTCTGACGCGGGGGTTTGTGCAGCTGCTATTTGGTAGTGGGCTTAGCGAAAGGTCGTAGAAAGAGCAAGCCAAATTAAAAACCTACCAGCTTCCTGAGTGCTGAGTTTGGTGGAACCATCGCTGGGCTTGAACTGTGAAGGCTCATCTGCTTCATAAATCAGACCGCGATTCGAAGAGCTGTGGTATCATGAGTGCCTACCGCCCCACGGGGAATCACCAGAGTCTAGATCCATTGTTACCGGTGTGAGATCGAAGCGAAAGGAATGGGAGAAGCGAAGGCGAATCAACAGGTCAATATTAAAATTGATCTCAATAGGAGCTTGGAGGGTGCGATATGGAGTTGGAGAGGGAGCTGGTTGGAGTGGAGGCTGATCATCCTTAGTCACTCACGGGATCCAGTCCTGGAGTGCCACCCCATGTGGTGTTTTGTCTTTGATTTGTTCAACTACTCCATACTTTACTTTGCATATTCTGCATACTATGCCATTGACACTGCTGTTTGATACGTCGAGGGCCATTTCTTTAGGTTCATAATTAATTCAGTCTACTCATTGCCAGCCACTATCCGATACTCTCGGCCCCCCTGACGAGCTTCGCAATACGTCACATCATTTCAATTGGAGCTTCTTACATAGTAATGTCAGGGTGATCGACGATTTCCCAGCTCAAATCAACATCGGCATAATATAGGTCATTAGAAACCGCGCAACGTCTATTTGACCCACGGGAGGCCCAGCTTGTGCATTTCCACCGCCAGCTGGAAGATGTAATCCAGACTCTCACACTGGGTCTTGGCCTTTGCAGTGTTATCACCCCAGACGTAACTGCAAGAGGAACCAACATTAGTATACGCACCAGTATCATGTGAAGCGAGGTTGCTGTCACTTACATTCCGTGCCTTCGGACAAGTACCGCGTATGTGTCCGGGTACTTGTTCATGGCTGCCTCCAAACCGCTGGTGAGGTCCTCTTCAAAGGCGGTGTTTTCAATAATAGGAATCTTCAAAGTATCGAAGAATCCGAGCATGCCTTTTCCTTTGCCGCGGGGAATACCCTTGATCTGCTCGATGTTGCTGATCTCGAAGCAAGCATCAGGGCCCTTCTCCCGCTCTACCAACAGGGTTACTAGAACCGCCCATTGTGAGTGAGTGTGTATGCAGCAGCCAGCACCATGCTCAAAGGCAGTCAGGAATAGCGGGGTACAGGCGGAGGGATTGAGCTTGAGGGGTTTGCGGATGTAGTTGCGGTCCGAGGCAGGGTACTTGGGAGTGGGCCATTGGAGGACGAAGATGTTGTCAGGCTGCATCAATTCTTTCTGAACTCCAGACGGCGCGATAAAGATGTGGTCACCTTGGCGGATCGAGGTCTACTTTTCATCAGCGAGGCACCGTTGCAAGAGTTTTTTTTCCCCGTCGCAAGTATAAGCTTACACCACCTCCGGTACCAGTAACCCATCCCCAGTTGTAAAATTTGCGACAGAGCTCGGGGATCAGGTTGGCTGGGTGTTCAGGGTCCTCGGACTGGACCAAGTGGTCATAGTTCGTTGCGACAGTTTGGTCTGCGGGGCACATTATGGGCTGCGACAGATTAGCGTATGTTGAGGGATGATAGTTCCAAAGTTTGGGAGGTGGGGAGGACCTAGGTCGGATTACAAGTTCCAAATTTGTTATTGTCTAGGTGAAGTTTTGCGCCAAGAGTACCGAGTAACCAATTGGACCTTTGAGCGGGGGAAGATCTTGAGAGTGTACAACAGTCGGCACTTGACAATGCAAATCTAGCACGCCATTTGATATCCCTACATTGTGACAACAAGATGAAATAGGCTAATCCTCTCCTTTGAATTGAAAACACTCCTAATACAGATAAAGACCAGAAAGATTCAATCTACCACAAGAACTGTCTTCCATTGTACTGTGACAAGTAAACAGGATAATTGTGAACTGGGCTCGTCATGTTGTGTAAAAAGTTTTAAATCAATACGATTTGGTCTTATGGTCTAGTGGTCATGACTGTGGATTTTGATGTTCGAATCGAAATTCTTCCACCGACCCCGGTTCGATCCCGGGTAAGACCTATTTTTATTTTTGCCCTTCGGGGGGGGAAGATAGAAGGTAGAATCACCACCATATTTATTTATAAAGAATGGATTTGCGTACTCCGTAAAGCTTGGCATTTCGCGGGATAGTTTGAAACAAAATCTCCCAGCTGCTGTGGTCATATATAGGAAACACCAAGTGAAACTAAGCAGATCAAAACAGAAGATGTATGAGATAGGTAACAGTGACCTTACGGTCTCACGTAATCTGCCACTTATATGGCCTCGTGTCATTTGTTAGATGTCTTTTTGTTTTAGACATTGTTGAGATGATTCCATCCCCCGTTGTTTGCTTGCAGACTGAGTGCTTGTTTGTCAAATTCAAGGGATAAACACCCTGCTTTTCCTCGATCATACACACTAAAATTCTTCTTCTTCTTCTTCTTCTTCTTCTTCTTCTTCTTCTTCTTCTTCCTCTTCTCTTGTGACTAGTAACTGCGATAGGGTATTTTTCCCCTATTGGCTTGTAGCTAGCATGGACAGGAAAGG